AAAATCATTCATTCTATTTAACTGATATACTGTCAATAAAAAGCAATCATCTATTTTTCTATGGTCTAATTTCATAAATCGACAATGAATGACTGACATCAGTATTTTGTTTCATGCTATTATTATAATCACACTTGATGAGTATCTCTTAAGCCAATCTATTCTAAGTTGACTGATATAGTAACATGTTCAGAATCTAATTCATATCATGTCAATCTTTGACTATTTTAATTCGAAATGACTTAATTTATAATTGAAATAAATTACTTGAAGCAATATATAGATGAGTTTTGTGAGCTATCTTTTCTTATGTAGGTATTTAAATCAAGTATTCCTCAACAATTAGAGTGTTCGTATGTGCAAGGAGGGAGGGGGTGCCCTGGATAAGAATATGCCGAGCTTAAGAGTAGGTGTGTCTGCAGTCCTCAGATCAAGAAGTGCACATTAGTTTCTTTAGGAAAACACTAAAAATCGATGCAACATGGTAGCAATATTCCAGACGAAAAAGTCTCTGGATTTGTTCGATGACATTCGGCCAATCTGCTATTGTTTCCAATAGACAATCGCAAGGCTTTCCTGTTTGAAATATTGCTTTCATATTCCATCCATCTCTTCTGGAATCAGCAAGAGTTTCTAGTTTTTGGTTAATAAATACATCAATAAGTCGAAAACACGATACATATGCGCAGTAGACTATCATGAAAAGGAGAGTTAACTAGACATCTTAGTTTAAGTTCTGAACATTGAAATTACATATTTATTCAGAAAAGTTATCTGAATGATAGTAACCAATGAAGATTTTGACTAATGACCTGTTCTTAAATCAATCTATGTCTTAACATTAACTAATGTCAATATAAAAGGCGATGCTACTATCTGCTAAGATTCGATGATAAAACTCAGCTGACATCGTCATTTATTTTTGTACTTTGCGAGAAAATAAGAAAACTCTTAAAAATCTTTTAATAATTACTCTATAATTGAATTAAATTCTGTCTAACACAGCGAACACAGATGAAACTGAGTTTAATAGTGTCAAATCTTAATGAAGCTTAAGCGTCAACCAGCCTACATGTTGTGCCGTCTATGATTCAAATCTTTATTTAGGCATTTTTTCTCATATTATTTTTCTTATGAAATGAAAATCAAAAAACATTATTAATTCCAATATTAGATACAAGAATATGTGAATATATATTTAATAGAGTAAGATATGTTTAATAATTGATTAGCTATTGGTTTCTTCGTCACTAAAATCTGCTTCGTTAGAGTTTTGGGGTAGTTGATTATTATTTGCTGGAGTAAAGTCAAGTCCAACATTGGCTGATTCTTTTTGTTTCAAGAGACGGATTTTCAATGTCTTTTTATTTGGATCTTTGGGTTTGTAACGTAATTCAAAAGTTCCAGTGTCTTCACCATTTGCTTTCATAACCGCTTGTTCTTCTAATATTGTTTTTACGAGGTCACCAATAGCTCGTGATGCAGCTATTTCCCAACCTTCACCATGCGCTAAAATAAAATACATGTTTTTTACGCTTCATAATGAAAAGATTGAATTATACCTGTTAGATCGAGTCCTTCGAGTTCATCCTCTTTAGCCAAGCGAATACCCATTATCCACTCCAAAGGTAGAAGAATACCAGTTGTACACGCAGTAGCAAAACCTAAACACAGTATCATTATAAGACTTCAAATTTAAACATTGTTTAACTTACCAATAGCAGTAAGAATGCCTGCAACTTGATACCATAATTGAATCGGTCGTCCATAGAAAGCACCATCAGCACCGTATATTGGATTGACTGACTTTTCAGGAAACAAACCAGCCATAAACGTACCTAATATACCTCCTATATAAAAAGGGAAACAAAGTGTATTTCAAAACAATATATTAGAATTTATTGTACCACATCCATGAATAATAGCAACATCTAATGCATCATCGAAATGCAGATGATGTTTATTTAATAGAAGAAAATAGATGGCAACTGTTGCAATAAAAGCAATAAGCAATGCCCATCCAGGTTGAACAAATCCACATGATGGTGTCACAGCTACAAGACCTATTATTGGACCAACACAAGCACCTGAAATAGATACATGACCACGAATAGCATCGAGGACTACCCATGTCACTAATCCAGTAGCAGCTGCTGCATTTGTATTGACTAATGCAAGAGCAGCTATACCACTAAAATGAAAAAAAGAATACTTTGTTTTTGACTTTTTTTGCAATCT